CCTAAATCTTAAACAAATTTAAAGTTTCAAATTACATTTTCAGAGCACGACTTAAAGGAAATGTGTTAAATAAATGTATTTAATCACGTGTAGGTGAACTAGAGGCTTTTGATTAAAAAATTCAATTTGGGACTCAGTTTTATACGCATGACGACTATACTCTTCAATGCAAAAACTCTTTTTGACGATTATATTCGTCAATTATATGATGAATGAATAGATTTTACATATACAACCGATCTCGTAAATAGTGCAAATAGTGAGAATGCACATTACCTGCAAAATATGCTCACAAACACAAATACACTGAACACAATTTACCAGCCACACACACAAACACACAAGGTAATTCTACCCTTCTCCTTTACTCCTATTGTTAAACGGCAGGGCTGCGCAATTACAATGGGGGCCCAATAATGAATAAGCTACATACACCTGCCACATACATTTTCAACATGAAATCTTTCATTTGTATTTAACTCATGCATATATATATTTGCTATGTATTTACATCAGACGGTCAATCTGGTTATAATTGTCTATATATATATATAAATATATATATATATATAATATATATATATATATATATTTTGTCCTCTTTACATAGCATTTGTCTTGCTCGTACCTCATGGCATTTTAAAAATAGTTCTCTTTACTTGTGTGTCGTGATGCATTTTTTTTATTTTTTCTTAATTTCATTTTATATCTTCCTCATAATACATAAACACACACACATATATATACAATATACATATATATATATATATATATATATATATATATAACTAAACTTTAGATTTTTTTCTTCGACATAATGAAATTATTACTTGCAACCAAATAGTCGAAATAAAAAGCAATCAATAATTATCTATTTATAACAAACGTTTCGACACTGTATGCCTGTCATCATTCAGCACGTTAAAGAAATTCTCAAAAAGTATTTTACAAAGTTTATACAATTATTAATCTGAATCAACGTTTGTGAACCCCCCTTTTTTCAATAAGGCATGACTTTGCTTGAGCTTAGTCCCTGGATCAACATTTGTAAACCCCCTTTTTCTACAATTATCTAACAATTCATTCATTATTTTATTTCATTGGTTTGATTTCTCAAACTGGTTTGATTTCTGGTTTGAATTGGTATGTATCCTGGTATGTATTGACATAAAATTATTATATTAGTAATTTTATAACTTTGTAAATTAATTTTTAGCATTTGTTTGAAGTGCTGAATGATGACACACATACAGTGTCAAAACGTACCAAATAAATAGTTAATTTTTTATTTCGAGTATTTGAGTGCAAAAAAGTGTGTGTTTATATTTTCAAAGATAATATTCTTTCCTCTAAAAATATTAACACAAATATGAATTAATATTGCTTTACAATAGTTATATTTAATGCAAAATGGTGAACAAATGATTTTTGATTCAAATGATCGTTCTTTTCTTACAAATTAAGAAAAAAAAAATACAGAAAGATCTCTACTGACGGCCAAAATTCAAGATAAAATTCTAAAAAGAACTCTACTGACGAACAAATTCTGTGAGAAATTACTTGAATGTTATGTTAGCAAACAAAGGGATTCTACTGACGAGCAAATTTATAATATGGTTGTAGAATGTAATATTAGTAAAGAAAAGCACCCTACTGGCAAAAAAATGTAGAAAAAAGTGGTAAAAAGAACTCTAGTACAAATTAAGAAAAAATATGAAAAAGGAACTCTACTGACCAACTAATGTAGAGAAAAAAAATGCAAAAAGACTTTACTGTCAGTATATTAACAGTATATTAACTACCTTACCACACATTGCCTATATATTTTATATTTTTATATAATTTCTATCTCAATTAACTTTCAACTACTCAAAATGCGAATAGCTTCTATAATTACCACGATTTGTGCAAAAATCAATTTTATATAGTAAAATAGATAAATGATTCATAAAGTATATGAATTAAAGAAAATAAGCTCTAAAATATGTGGAATTTATCCCCAGCCGTTAAACATTCGGTTGAGAGGGTGGTTGCTAAAATTTTCTAAATGTTTTGAAAATTTTAATAACTTTTATCAAATAATGAATATTGCTGATACTGACAATGAGATAATCATAAAAGTATTAAAATTGTTATCAACGTACGTATAATGATATGAAATCGGTATTTGAACATATATAATCCCCTTGCAGAGCAAAAGTGTAAAAACTCACTTTGTTTTCAATGACGCACCTTCAAAGTCATTCCTTTTGACTCTTGATCAAACTGGTTCCACCAATTAAAGCACTCTTACAACTTACAACACCACCACACATGCAAAGGCACAGTAACAGTCACAGTACACTGCCTTTGAGAATATAACTACAACAAAACCACAATCACAATCAGGATAAAGGATAATTAACCGATACACATGTCGAAAAATAAAAATTAACTTTGTTTATAATCCAAATCCATCGAGAACTATTCCTTTACCTAATGTCCTGCAAAACTTGTGAACCGCACAGTCTCTATCGACCTATTACACTAATTTTCAGTATCCTTTATCCTTTTTTAAGTCCTATTAAAATGTTCTTTGTTTTAAGGTTATGTTATGAAATTATACGTGCGTGTGCACCGACCGAGCGCCTGTGTTCAAATGAAGCGAGTTCACATGCTTCCCACAGGGGGCTAATGAGCGCGACAGAGACGCAGGATGAGACTGTGAGGCGGAGATAGAGATAGAGAGCATACATTTTGTACAGGGTGACTTGGAAAATTCAGAAAAATATAAATAAAATTCGAAAATTTCGATTTTTTGGAGAATTTTCAT